CATACTATTACTCACTCAACTCCCACTTGTCTATTTACAGCAGCAATCTTGACACTGCTCTAAATATGCCATTCCTCATCAAAATCCTCCTAAAAACTATCTTCCACACTCTTTAAACCACTCTACCCAAGTCGCCAAAATTCCATTTCCACTCTTCTCAGGAAGAGAAAATACATAAATTCTTCTTTTTAGCCTTCAAATCTTGAAAATGCTGCTACAATTGCTGGTTTTGTTTGTGGCTTTTGCCATTGGTGGAGCAGAAGATCCCTACAGATTCTTTACATGGAATGTTACATATGGTGATATCTACCCACTCGGAGTTCGCCAACAGGTTCGTCTGTCGCACAATCAGGATCCTCAAATTGAGACTTGAAGTTGCATCTTAAAAGACGCAAGATGGTGACTCGTTTTAGTATATCAATAATTTTCATTTGTTTTATAGGGTATTTTGATAAATGGGCAATTCCCAGGACCAGACATTTACTCTGTCACCAATGACAATATCATTATCAACGTGTTCAACAGCTTAGATGAGCCTTTTCTCGTCTCCTGGTAAGTAACTAAGAACAATATATGCATATATTTCCTTTTACTGTCCTGAACATCCTAAAACTGCTGTCACTTTTTGCATTTGTATAAGAATATTTCTGTCTTTCGATAAATTATATCTTATGCGGTTGAAAAGCTGTGATCCGCATAAAATACGAGGTTAAAATTAATTATTAACTTTGATTTTGATAAAAACTTAGATTATAATTTCTATCAAACCCAAGCTAAACATATTTTTCTTTTCACTTTCGCAGTTATATTATCGAAAGATTCAATACAATCGACAATACAATCACACGACTCGTGTGAATGTAATCTTCTTTAAAGCTAGGTACATTTCACCTAGGATCCTTAACCAAGTAAATGGGAGGAAAAATATAGATTTTTTAATTCCCTCATGCCCCATTTTCGTCCCATCTCCATCCCGTTTCTCGAAAAACCTCGATGGGATGGGGAAAGGGAGTGAAATTAATTATAAAATATGGGAGTATCTATATGGGAATTTAAATCCAGTATTTATAGGATATATGATGAATTTTAATGCTCTCTCCCTCCTTAGTCCCAGAGGTTCAAATAAATATGAGGTAGACATGACATCCTTGTTTGGTCGGTCCAACCTAAGTTTACTATCCTTTTTAGAAAGTAAATCGACAAAAAAATTAAAAATTTATCAACTACACAAAATTATTATTATTATTATTATAATTAATTCTTTGCTTTTATGATCATTTTGATTTGTCTAATTACAATTATTTCAAAAGCATCCATCTAATAGTGAAAAAAATCATGTGTGGTCACATCATAATTTGCCAGCTTCCCAATGTGTAATCTGTTTCCAGCTATGTCAATCAATTTTAGTGATTTGTGCCATTTACAAACATTATCTCCAAAAAAAATTATATATAAAAAACTGCAAATTGTCACATGAAAATTACTATGAGCTTGTTTGGGAGAGATTTTTGGAGGAAGAATTAATTT